TCCTGCTATCTACCTGAAATGCAAGCCCATTTCACCTCACTCCATTGTAGGTGGAATCACTGCCTCTAGCCGCCGCCTCTTCCAATCCAACCTGAATTGTCATCGTGTTTCTCTTCACAAAAAAATCTAAAGGATCCCACATTCAAATCCAAGTGCCTTACTCTTAGATTCAGAGCTCTCCACAATCTAATTATACTTTGCAACATTATTTCCTATATCTGCTTCAGGTGAATCCTTCTTTCTTGTTAGGTCAGTACCTTCTTGGTCCCTCAAACATGCTCATTCTTATCTTCTCTTTGCTCAAACTGCGTGAATCCTCTCTCTCACACTCTGACTAGGAAAATGATATCTATCTTTCAAGTCACAGTAGAGTCTTACTTCCTCTATAGAAGCCTTCCCTAATCTCAGCCACAATGACTCTCCTTCCTCTGAAACACTAAAGTTCTTAGTGTCTGTTCCAGGACACATAATCATATCCTTTCTCGCACTTGTATCTACTTGTACCACGTTATGCCTCGCCTTTCCAGAAAGGGTGGAAGCTCTCTCATGGGCTGGGACCAGATCTTTTCCTGAACTTTTCTCCCCAACACTATAGGCTACTACTGGCGCTTAGGAAAGTGAGTGTTCTGAGATCTTGGGAGGTAGCCTTGCTTGGCAGACACACTGAGAAAGTCACAAATGTGGGGAAGTAAGGAAAAATGATATAAGACTCGAAAAGCCTCTGTTCATTTCACTCCTGAAGTTCACAATTCCTGTCCTGTTCTCAGGGTTTCTGCGGGGTCTTGTGAGAGACAGAGAATCTCCAAAGATGCTCCTCTTCCCACATCCCCTTCCATAGGGGCTCAAATGATACCTGAAAGGCCTCTCTGAGGGCCTGGGCCTGTTCCCAGGTGCGATTGTCCTGCCAGGGCCGGCCTGTAGAGCGCGTGGGGCCTGCATGGAGACTCTCCCCAAAGACATCCAGGTAAAAGAAGACATAATCCCCATTGGTCAGGTTCTCCCTCTGGGCCTGCAGCAGGATTTCATGCAGCATCTCCAGAGGGCCACAGATATACACAACTGGGAACAGGTATACAACAGAGGGGCACCCTGAGAACATATCCAGGTCCCCACACAGCCCCCTCTCTAAACCATCTGCATTTCCCTCTTTAGCAAGAAAGAGAGTGACTTAACCTATCCACCACCCAACAGATGCTCCCCGTCCCTCCTCCCTTGGAGTCTATGTCATAAGTATCCTGGGGCCATATGGACCATCTGGCAGAGGTCAGAGCCTGACCAGACCCCAGAGGAAGGGAGCTATCAGCCTGAAGCCCCTCCTTTTCCCAGAGCCCTGCCTGCTGCTCCCCACCTAGCCCTCCTCGCTCTCCCATTCTGCCCTGCCTTTCTCTATGCTCAAAAGCACTGGCTGCTCAGAATTTCTCTCAGTGTCAGCTTTACCTGTCTT